GAGTTCTTAGATCCAATGCCAGAAGTTTGATCAATAAAAGAGAAAAAGATAAATTGGACAAACTGAGAAGTATTAGGAGGACAGCACACTGTTAAGAATGCAAAGACAAGCCACACACAGACGAAAATATTGCCAAATCACATATCTGACAAAGGACTTGCATCCAGAACATATAAAGAGCTCTCAAAAATCATCAATAAGAAAACAAACAGCTTTGAAAAAAAGATGGGCAAATGATCTGAACACACGCTTCACCAAAGAAGGTATACAGATGGCTATTAAGCTCATGAAAAGATGCTCCACATCTCCAATTAGTCATTGGAGAAATGCAAATTAAAACTATAATGAGACACCTTTACGCACTTGTGGAAGTGGCTAAAATAGAAGAAATCCAAACTGACACAGGGTTGGCAAGGATGCCAAGCTTCTCACTCATTGCTGGGGGCAGTGTGTACAAGATGGTACAGCCTCTGTGGAAAGCAGTTTCTCAGTTCCTGATGAAGTTAAACATACAGCTACCACACGAACCAGCGATCCCCCTCCTATTGACCCAAGAGAACTGAAAACATGCATTTAGGTGAAAACGGGTATGCAAATGTTTATAGCAGCTTTATGCATAGCTGTTGAAAACTGGAAACAAGCCCGCATGTTCTTTAGCAAGTGAACGGACGACGACGTGCGCTCCACCCGTGCAGTGGAGTACTACTCAGTAGTAAAAAGGGAACACACTATGAATACAAGAGCAACAACGCTGCTGAGTTTACCGCATTCTGTCAACTGGAAGTAGCCAGTCTGACAAGCTGACATGCTGCATGTTCCATTTGAATGACTTTCTGCAAAAGGCAAAGTGATAGGGATGGAGAAGAGACTCCTGGTTGCTGGGCTGGGTGGGGGTGACTCCAAAGGGGCAACAGGAGGGAATTTTGGGGGTTTTTAGAACTGTTCTGTGTTTTGATTGTGGTGTTTACATGGCTGTATGCATTAAGTCAAGAGTCGTAGAAACTTTAAACAGAAAGAGTGCATTTTATTGTATGTAAATTTAAAAATAAATGTAAAAACATGAAGAGGCTTTGAAGGACCAGCAGTTAAAGCTCACTTAGTGCTGTTGGGTGGGGGTCCCGTGGTGGAGCGAACCCCAGAGGCTCGCAGAAGCTGGGCTGTGCCTCCTGCTGAATTCACCTGGCCATCCTTGGTCGTGGCGTCATCATGATGTTTGTCATGCTCACAGTCTGTCCCTGACGCTAACGGCTTGGCTGCAGGCAGAAGTCTGCAGCACGCACAGGGCCACCCCCACTGCATGGCCTGTGTCTCCCAGGCTTGGACACTGGTCAGGAGTCAAGGGCTGGGAGACCATGAATGAGTGCTAAGAAGAGGGTGACCTAACCCTCACCTCTTCTGGAAGCTCCCTTCCCCTTCCCTTCTTTTTTAAAGATTTTATTTATTTACTTATAGAGAGAAAGTGAGTGGGGTGAGGAGGGGCAGAGGGAGAGGGAGAATCTCGTGCAGACTCTGCACTGAGCTTGGAGCCCGACGCTGGGCTCGATCTCACGACCCTGAGATCATGACCTGAGCTGAAATCAAGAGTCGGATGCTTAACTGACTGAACCACCCAGGCGCCCCTGGAAGCTTGCTTTCATTCCACGGACACAGTTGCTCATTCCGGATGTCCTTGGGATCCTACTTCCTCCCCTCAGTGTGTCTTGGGAGGCAGAGCATCATAATGCTAACTGCATGGATTTCAGTGTCAGAGAGCCCTTAGTTTGCATCCCGGGGCCAGAGCAGTGATCTTGGGCAAGGACTTTAACTACTTTTGGTTTCAGCTTCTCAACCTCTAAGATGGGGACAATAATAGTAGCTACTTCACGGGGTGGCCGAGGATTACACAACCAAAACATGCACTTGAAGCCCAGTGCCCCGTGTGGCGAGCATGTAATAAACAAACAAGGTGTCAGGTGAGCGGATGCACGGATTCGTGAGTGCTTCTGGTGGGCGGGGATGCTGAAGCCTCTGTCGTCCTCGTGCACAGCGCAGCACCAGCCCGAGAAAGCACCTGCCAAGTACCTTCTGTCTCACGGAGCTCTGGGGCCAAAGTCACACTCAGGGCTCACTCCTTTCTTCACACCTTCCTCCAGGCCAGGCCCTGGCTCTCAGACGCGCTCAGCAGCTCTGAACCCCCAAGGGATCCCCCCGCCCCCGGCGCTTCACGCACCTTCACTCCAGACTCCCCTCCCAGCCCCGCATGGGTCAGGACGGGATGGGACCTGGACAGTCACAGCTGCAGCCCGGGGGCCGACTCCTTTCCTCCTGTGCTCCCCGCTCCTGGGGCTTGTATGTGGTACACCAACAGGTGTGGGGTTCTAAAGCCATCCGGGGACTGACTTTCAGTTCCTGGATCAAAATATGGTGCATTGTCTGTATAATTGCATAAATAACAGGCTGAAGGATTACTGATGCCAGCCTCATGGGAACAAGGAAGGGTGAACCTCGGGCTCCGTCCTGCCTGGGCTCTGCTCGGTTTGCATCTGTGTCAGGGTAAACGTGGATGTGCGTGTTGAGGACATTATGTTCGTTAGGATTTGTGGTTGGGAGATAGATCATATCTCAGCTGACTGGACTGATGGACCAAACCAAAGAGGGAGGAATTAAAAGGGATAAAGGTCAGTTCTGGCTCTTAAGCCTTTAAATCCAACAACGTGCAAGCAGAATGATGTGGACTGAGTTTAATGAGCACATGAGAAAGATCTGGGGCTTTTAGGCAAGGTCAGTAAAAAGACAGGGATGTGATGCAGAAACAAAAAATTTAATGCTACCAGGTTGCATTAACAGAGACATAGGTAACAGAACAGAGGAGGTGATACGTTTACTCTCTGTGCTAAGCTGAGCTCATCTTGAATATGGTGTTTACTTTTGACAGTCACATTTAGTATAGACATTTACAACCTGTAACGTCAGCAGAGGGCAACCAGGATAAGTGTCGGCTTATATAGAGGGTGGAGAGAGCCTGAAGAGCAAAGATTTGCCGGGTTCAGGATAGCCGACGCTACTTAAGGGGGTTCCTTGTGGAAGAGTGATTTGACCTATCCTATATGCCTCCAAGGCAGTGATATATAATAGAACTTCCTGTGATGATGGAAATATTTTATGTCTGTGCCATTTAATAGCTACCAGACAGATGTGGTTTTTGAGCAAATAAAATGGGGGAACTGATTTTTTAATTTAACTCATTACAATTAAAATTTAAATGGCTTACTGTGTATATCTCATTGGATGGTGAAGCTTTAGAGGGAAAATAAAAGAGTAGACCAGGGGTTGGCAAATTTTTTCCGTGAAGGGTAAGACAGTAATTATTTTGGGCTTTGCTGGGCATATGACTTCTGTTGGAGCAACTGGGCTCCCTCATTGTAGTGTGAAAGTATACATGGCGTAGGAAAGAATGAATGCATCTGCGTTCTAATAAAACCTTATTTATGGCAACTGAAATTTGAATATAATCTTTACATGTCACAAAATATTCTTCTTTCGATTTTTTTTCAACTACTTTAAAGGCGTAGAAACCATGCGTAGCTCCTAGGTTGTACAAAAATGGGTGTCAGGCTGGATTTGGCTTTGTAGTTTGCTGACTCTGGATTAGGATGTGGGTGGGAGCCTCAGGGACTCATCCGTAAGTTCAAGAATGGGAGACAGTATTAATTAGAGGTAGCCGGGCACGGCCTGAGCACCCTCAGTGAGAGGTGAGTTCTTGTCACTAACAGTTCAAGTACAGGCCGGGTAGTTAACTATCTGGCAAGGGATGAGGCAGAAATGTGTCTACTTAATACAGGTTATACTAGAATTTCCCCTGAATTCTGTAGGAGTTTTGAAATCAGGATGACATGTGACTGCTTTAAAATTATACCTGCTTTGTGCAGGGAAAGGGATTGTTTGCCCCACTGGGTACTTCGTCTGAGCCCCGTGTTGCTGGGACGGGGACACCTGCGGGTGGCCTCCAGCCTCGTTGCCACCGTGGTTCTGCCAAGCGTTCCAGGCCCCTGGGATGTGCCTTCATGGGGGAGCTGCCTATGCCCATCTATGTGCAGCCCAGGAGAGATGCTGCTGAGAGCGCCTCGGGCCTCCACGCCAGTGCCGTCTGGCGAGCTGTGAGTCTCTGTCCAGAATGAAGTTGAGGACCCACGTCCAGCGGACCCGTCTGTGAAGACGGGACTGCTCAGGAGCTGATTGTCCAGCCCGCGTCCTCTCTGTTACTGTCGGCCCTGCTCTCTTGCCTTTCTCTTCTCCTCTGTCCTGCCTTCTGTCTGTCTCACTTCCGATCAGCATCTCTGCTAAAATAAACACAAACAGAGAATAAACGGCTTCTTCCTACAAGGAGAGAGGTGGAAAGCGCTGGCTTGAAGTTGGAATTTCTTGTGCTTTTATCCACACTTCCACCTGCCGCCACTGTAATGGAGTTTTCTCCATGTCTTTGCAAAGCACAGGAAGCCTATGAAGCTTGACTTGGGGGCTTTCCAACAATTGAGATAAATACCTTTGGCATGCAACATTGTGTAAATTTGATACACGAATGTTGCAGAACTGTTCCCATTGTAGGACTGGCTACCCCTCTGTTCCGACACATAGTTATCACTTCTTCCAGTGACCGGATTGGTTAAGAGCTGGTCTCTTGGCCAGTTTAATGTTTAGAGTACAGTTTTGTTGTCTGTATGCACTAGACTGTGCATTAGGTCTGCAGGACTTACTTGTCTACTCGTGGCAGGTGCGTGCCCTTAAACAGTATCTTGCCCTTTCCCTACGTGGGGGAGTTTTAAGGGTACACAGAAGACGGAGGAGTTCGATCAGCCCCAAGTGTCCATCACCAGCTTTGACGGCAACCACCTCCTGGCCAGTCTTAGATCACTGATACCTTCTTCCTGCCTCCTGTATTATTTTGAAGCAAATCTACAGGAAGACGCGGGGCACTGACTCACCTTTGCACTAACATCTCAATTCTGCGCATTCCGTTTCAGATCATTGCCTTCGATGAGTTAAGGACGGATTTTAAGAGCCCCATAGACCAGTGTAACCCTGTTCATGCGGTAAGTAGCGGGTGCAGGCGGGGGCGGGGGGTGTCAGGGCGGGTTACTGGGGCCTGTGGAGGAGGGACGTTCCGATGGGGGGGTGGGTAAAGTGCCTCCACTCCTGGCTCAGGGCCGTCGAGGACCCCTCTCATTCCTGAGGTCCGCCCGTCGTACCTTGCAAGTCAAATAGGACGATCCCAGGAGGCCAGGTGGGAAAGGTCTGCTGTGCTTTGGCGGACGAGTCTTCAAGGCCTCGTGCTGGCGTTTCTGGTTATTTATCCTTGAATAAGGAGAGAGGCTCCATGTTGGCCAACGTGCTGGCAGGGCATGGGAGCCTCCTCAATGGCTGTGTGCTGCGCTTGGCCAGGTCTCTCAGAGGGAGACACCAGAGTGGGTGGAGGTACAGAGCCCCTGGGCCCGCGTCCACCGCGCAGGGGGACACTCATCTCTAGAGGCTCCGTGGGCCTGAGGTCAGCTCGCCTCCCACTGGGGAATCTGATGCAGTCTGGTCCTCAGATCCAGGCTCGGCACGTGCGATCTGACCGTCCCGTCCGGCTGCAGCTCCCTCATGCCCAGGAGTGGGTGTGACAAGCGGCTTGTGCAGGGAGAGGAGGAGGACCCTACTTCCAATGAATGGGGTGGGTGCAGCCCACTTGCCAGGGCCGGGGACCAACCACGCGGGTGGACAGAGCCTTGTCCACACTCATTCGAGACCAGCACTGCTGGGCACACACGGTTCTTTCAGGTGTGTCTCTCAGCCTGCACTCACGGGGTCCGCGTGTGGTTGAAGTTCCTTCCAGGCCCCGGGTTCCAGTGCCAAGCCAAGTTTTTGTTTGAATAGCTCTGTGGGTATTTTCAGTTAGAGGTTGTAGACCGGACAGCAGGATTTACTAGTGTGAATCCATCTTAACCTGGAAGGCTTATGGTGTCACTCTAGCGACACGGACAAAGAGGTCTGTTCTCCTTGAAGAAAGATGTGCTCTCGGGAGGAGCCAGAAGACCAGGGAACTAGGCTTCAGTGTCCCCTCTGAAAGCACAGGGCTTTTATTGGAGTCGTACATTTTGGTGAGTTTTTACTGCACACTAGGAACTTTACACGTATAACCTATAGTCTCACAACTCTGGCCAAATGGCATCATTTACCGCATGTGCAGACTCGTACGCAAGGGCCCACAGCCCGTGGAGGTCTGCCTGTCCCCAGAGCCCGTGTTCTTACCACCTAGCTACTCCATGGTGTCTCTTTCAGAGATTGGATTTTCTAATGCCTGATTTTATCATCCCTTTGGCATCAGATTCTTTGGTTCTGTGAAATAGAGCCAAACCCTTTTCAAAGTCAAGGGTGTGAAGCAGAAATATGTGGCAAGTTGCAAGAGTCCCTAAGATGCACTTGGAAACTTCTTAGGCTTTGTACTTCCATTAAAGTCCATTTTTATTTCCATCTGCTGGCCTCCCCCCACCACCTGTGGTAACTTGGCCCCACCGGGCCTGAGGGGCTACCCCCCAGTCTCATTTCTTTTTGGATGTTTTCTGTTTGGCACCAGGGTTACACACCTGGCCCGTTGGAGCTCTAGTCCAAGAGGGAGGCCGCTATCCGTCCTCCTAGCTGTGTGGGCTCAGATGAGCTCACTGAAAACACGCAGGGCTTTCTTGAATGACCCCGGGTGCACGCTAGTGCGGAAACGTGTCCTCCGCTCCGCCCCGTCCTGCCAATTCAGCCCAGGCGATCGGTGAAACCGTGAGACAGCTTTGTGGAGTCACGAAGAGGATATAGGACTGACAAGCGCGCTGCGGCAGCCTCTGGGGAAGGTCAGCGCAAGATCGAAGCCTGCACACAGTAGGCACTCAGCTGTTGTTGACCAGAGGGAGAATGCATCTGCTGCAGGGTGAGGTATACCGTGGAGGCTGGGTCTCGGCTCTTCACTCCTATCGTGAAAGCCACACTTCTAACTGGGTAATGACTTAATCAAGGAGCCTGGACCCTGTGGGCCAGACAGTCCGTGGACAGACTGAAGACCCCCCGGGAAAGCACTCTTGTCTGAGATTTCTAAAAAAATCCATTAAAACCCTACATGGATGAATATTAGACATATTTTCTTGGTTCTGACGATTTACTCCCCGGCAGGGAGCTAAGTGCTTTGGATGCCTCATTAACTCACGTAGAGCCCCCAAAAATGCATCTCCGCCTCAGCTGGCTTGAAGGAGCTACCGCCCACTGGTGACACCCGCCCTGCATGGACTTAACTTACAGACAGTAACTCTATGAGCAAGCGTGAGGCCCACTGGCTCTCTGGATTGAAGATCCCCTAGAGCTCCAAATCTTGCAGGGCCCTTGGGGTGGACCCCCTTCCAGGAGCTGGAAGGGACGAGGAGGGCCCTGCTCTACTCCTACCTTCTCATTCAGCCCTTCCCCTTCCTTTATCGGCAGGCCCTTTAGTGTCACCGTCAAGGAAGGGGAGCCAGCAGAGGACCAGCTTGTGGGGAAGGAGCCGGTGCGGGCCCTGTGGCAGCCTCTCTGTGCCTGGCACCTCACACCCTTCCTCTTATTCTCCATGTAGGCAGCCTCGATGCCCAGCCGTGTGTGGGGTTTGTGTGTGCGCATGCGCATGTGGACAGACACGGGGTTTGCTGCGGAGGACGTGGTCTGTCTTCCTAGCCACGTGGACACTAATTTGTCCTGATGTGGGCTCTTTCCTCTGGGCTTAAAGGATGCACAGGAATCACTGTACGATTCAGTTAGGGAAGCTGAAGTGGCCCAGCCACCTGTCTTCCCCAGATCCGCGAGCAAGTTCATTAGCATCACTTCCATGGTTACCAAATTGCCTCGTAACGAAGCATCGGACAGAGGCTGCAGCTGTGCTCAGAGGGGCTTTGGAAAACAAGAAGTCACTGCGGGAAAGGGATGGTGGCACACCGTGTGTGATGTGACCGTCACCCCCCGCCCGGCCGCGGGCACCTGTTCTCAGCCCTGAGCCGGGCTCCGGGCATGGACTTTGACATCTCGAGACATCTTAGCTTGGGGGTGCTGCTGGTGTCTAATTTAGTGGGATGATTCCTTCCTCTAAATGCACTCACTTTAGAAAAATGAAATCAGCAGGCAGAGAACTTCCCGACCGTAGACTCTAATCAGGGCACACGGAGCCCCGGGTGGGCAGTCCTCCTGGGAGGGTGACTCGGCCTCCAGGGCGTCCCGAGGACTTAGTTGTCTTATAACTGGAAGTTGGTACCTTTTGACCCCCTCCGGCCAGTTGCCTCTCCTCTACTCCCTGTCTCTGATAACTGCACACCTGATCTTTTCTATGAGTTTGTTTTGTTGTTGTTTTGTTTTAGATTCCATATATAAGCAAGATCACATGGTACTTGTCTTTCTCTGTCTGGCTTATTTCACTGAGCATAACACCATCCATGTTGTTGCAAATGGCAGGATTTCCTTCTTTTTGTGGCTGAGTGATATTCCTGTGTGTGTGTATCCTGACCGTATGAGAGTATATTATACTATATGTATATATATACACATGACATTTTCTTTATCCGTTCACCCATCCACGGACACTCAGGCTGCTTCTGTGTCGTGAGTCTTATAAATAATGCTGCAGTGAACACAGCGGTGCAGATACCTTTTCTAGACTGTGATTTCATTTCCTTCGGGGAGATACCCACAAGTGGAATTGCTGGATGATCCGGTAGTTCTGTTTTTAACTCTTTAGGGAACCTCCCTGATGTTTTCGTAGCGGCGGTACCAATATCCATCTCAGCAACAGAGCATGAGGGTCCCTTTTTCTCCACGTCCTCATCAGCACCTGTTGTCTCTTGTCTTGATTTTAGCCATTCTGACAGGTGTGAGGTGATAGCTCACCGTGGTTTTGATTTGCATTTCCCCGATGATGAGTGATGAGCACCTTTTCATGTACCCCCGGCTATCTGTATGTCTTCTTTGGAAAAATATCGGTTCAGACCCTCTGCCCATTTTATTTGGATTATTTGTTTTGTTTTTTTTTTTTCTGTTGAGTTCTATGAGCCGCTGGGTGGGAGCACGCAGGTCTCTGGTGGGTGCTGCCTTCTCTCCTGGGGGCTGAATGTGGGGGCTCCTTCAGCAGAGCATCTAACCTCCCCTCTTTTTCTTTCCTGTGCATCCCGATAGAGAGAACGTCTGAGGAACATCGAGCGCATCTGCTTCCTCCTGAGAAAGGTCAGTGCAGGAACTCCACGCCCGAGGGTGGGTCCCGTGGTCATGGCTGGTCACGCGCGGAAGGGGCTGGTGAGGCTTGGCGCCTGCTCCAGTCCTGTCTCCCCGGAAAGGCAAATGGCAGGGGAGTGGGCGGCGGGAGCAAGTGAGCCTTTCGTTTGCTGGAAACCTCGAGATAAAAGGAGCTCATTGGAAGGGGTAGCCATCAGTCAAAGTGACAGGGCAGTACTGGATATTTGCAGGTGCCCTCTGGCTGGACTCGGAGGTTCTTTACCTTCGCATGATGATGGATGGCGTTTCCAGCTCATGTAACTGCACAGCCTTTGTTCCTGGCGGGGCTCAGGGAAGTTTTTAACTAGATGCTGGGTTTCCTCTGAGGTTTCAGCCTGCCACTCAGCTTTGTGGTTTGATGGGCAACATCACTGGGAGTGTTTTGGGGGTGGGATGGGAAGTGTTATCGAAGGGGGGGCCAAGCATTGGGAGAGTTGTGAGCGGATGGGTGGCAGGTCACAGCGGCCCCGAGTGCATCTGGAAGCACACGTGTGCACACACGGTTACGTGTGCGCGTGCAGCTCAAGCTTGGTATTTAGCTCACCTCCGTGACATAGCCGGGCCACAGGATGGGGAAGCCACCTGTCAGCCCAGAGGGAGCTTCTGAGCCGTGGGTGAATTCGAGAGAAACGCCTACCCCGCCGACATTGACAGGGAGTAACAGTGCGAGCTTTTGGATTTTTTCCGTATTTCCATAATGATACCTTTCACTGGAGGAGAGAGCCTAATCAAGTAGTTACTTATTTTTCCAGCTACTCACTTTGTCCTTTCGTGCTTTCCTAGAGCCTCGGTCTGATTGGGTTCCCCAGCTTGTGGGTCATAGCAGGGAAGTGCGGTCAGATAGGGAAAATACACATGAAAACATTAGGGACCCAAAGAGTAAAGGATGATGTAAGGAAACACATGACATTTGGTGTTAAGGGCAACTCAGGAATTTGTCCGTTACTTTCGCCTGTCGTATCTTGGACACCAGCAATCCCTTCGGCGGTCAGTTCCCGTCTGACGCCTAAGAGTCTGTCACGCTCCCTTCCCCCATCCTGAACGTGCCTCCCCAATTCTCACATCCATCCTATGAGTCTGGCTCATCCTTCGGCACCGCTTGGCCACTGACTCTGGCCGGACAGTGGCCGGTGGCTGCGACTGCCAGGGTCCTGCTTAGAGCCCAAAGTCAGAGCTGAGGCCAGGAGAGAACCCAGGCTAGGCAGGAATTAGCATTACCATTTGTCAATTTACACATAGTTTGTGTAAGTTTCTAGAAACCGCAGGCATTTTGCTCCAGGAAACCTACGCCAAGTACCTTTTTCTGTTTCTCGTCCTTTTCATGTGGTCCCTCCCCCCATGCGGTGGCCTCTGTGGCCCTTGGGAACACAGGTGCTGTTCATCGTTAGCGGGAAACCCCAGGGAGGCTGGTCCAGGGTAGACACTGCGGACAGGCAACCCTGACTTCAAGTTCCTGGGTGTTCCAGCTGCGCCCGATCATGCGACCTGCGGCCCAACGGTCTTTGGCCCCACGACCAGGGGCACGAGGACCTAGCCCAAAACATGTGCATCTACTATATTTACTACACTTACTACTTTCATCAGATTTGTATTTTAAAGTTGCACGTAGCTCTCTCTTGTGTCGGCCGTTGACCGGGCAGGTCCCTAACTGACAACTTCTCCTGCCCCGTCCGTGCCTGCTGCCTTCCTTGGGGTCTGTGCAGTCACCTGACCCCCGTCTGCTGCCCACCAGCTCTGGTCCCTTCCACGGGAGAGGTGGTAGGGGACGCAGGCTTCTGCTGCGCCCAGATGCTGCCCCTGCCCTGATGATCCGTCCAGCCTGCCTCGAGAAGCTATAGGTGTGTGCGGCTCAGAGCTGCTCGGCGCCGGGCGCATTCCCGCGGGCATCCTGAACCCCGGTGGCTGCCGGGAGCGCCATGTGACACCCCCGGGGCTCACGCACACCCCGGAGGCAGGTGAGGTGGCCCGTGGCCTCCCCGGCCTGAGCCCGTGCCGGGGATGTGGGGAGCGTTAGTGGGTCTGGTTAGCGCCACCACCTTCTGGGAAATGTACCTTCCAAGAAATTTCTTGGAACTTGTCCCCCAGACACCCAGAATGTGATGTATCTCTGCAGCTGATTGTTGCTAAACCACCTCCTCAGCTTTCTCGGGAGGAAGGAAGGGATTTTCAAAGGGGATCCATTTTTAGCTCTCTAATTATCAGAAAATGTGTTCTTTGGGTAATTGTCTGAACTGCAGGATTCCCGTGTCGACGTGCACGTGTGATTCATTTTCCATGGCAAGAGCTACTTCACATGCTGCTCGCCTGCTGGAGTGGGACGTGGGCTCCATGGGTCGCTGTGCAGGTCAGGAAGGTCAGGAAGTGTCACAGGCCCCGCAGGGAGGAGGCGGAGCTGCGCCGGGGCCCCGGCTGCATCTTGCAACTTCAGAGAATGGCTGGAGGAAAGGAGCTGACGGGCGAGCCCGAGGTTGGCATGAGCGTGGGGAGAAGCGTGCCTTGTGAGTGGGGCTCCTCAGACCCTGGACTCGGTTGTCCCTGGGGACCCATGAAATGTCACCTCCCTTAGGCCAAGTCAGACAACAGAGTCTGTGACGGTTTCGTGTTGGCTGAGCCTGCCGGGGGGAGGGAGACTCAGGCGCAGAGGTCAGGATGTCCCTTCTGGCTTTGACGCATCTGGACGTCTCCACCTTGCCCCCTGAACCCACAAGCGCGTCTCCAGCCCCCTGCAGGTTTCTGACGTTTGTGGCTCTAAACGGTGGATGGGTGATTCTCCCCCTCCATCGAGCAGTCGCCCCGGGACGTGGAGGAGGAGTGGGTGGGGTTGGGGTGCTGGGGTGTTGAGGTCTTTGGGGTGTAACCAGGCTGGTGGGAGGGGGCAGGTGTGCCAGGTCATGATCTGGAAGAACGTGGTGGTGCTAAGGCCACGGTGTTGCCACCAATGACCACCTGCGCCCCCCCTTCCAGCTTATCCGAGCCACACCTGCGGGGGGTGGGGCATCACGGGGTCAGGTGTGGCTGAATGCTGTGAAGCCGGGTCCCCTGCAGAAGTTCCACGACGGGGTCCCACCAGTGGGGTTGGAGGAGGTGGGGAGCGGTTAGGACCCTTTCCCAGTGCAGAGTCTGTTTGTCGAGTAGGAAGATCACACTGTCGTTCCAGATTCTTCCCCGTCCCCTGTGTCCGTGGGGTCATGTGCAGTTGCTTGGGTCACGTCCCTGAAGCCAGCCCTGCCTGGACCCATGACCTTGCTATGTGATTGTGCAGGTCCCCTCCCCCGCACTCATGTTGGGCTCGGCCACGTGAATGTGAGCAGGTGGCGGGTGTGCTGAGGCTTCAGAGTCCTGGGTGTCCCTGACATCACCAAGGCCAACCCACTGGTGCAAGGAGCATGGAATGCAGACCCCAGCCCATCTGGAGCTCAGAGCCAAGCCCCCTGGATCCGGCGGCCCCCATTCAGCCTTTAGATGCATGAGCAGGTGTAAGTGATTATCACTGAAATTTGGAATGATTTGTTATGCAGCGTTAGTAAGGCTCACTGATGCTGTAAGCATGTGCTACTTACATAGGGGGAGAATCTTCTTTAAAAACGTGGTTGTGTCCTGTGCCTGTACACATCAGCTGTTTGCTGACTCTACAAATTTATAAATAGATGGTTTCAAACTCTGCCGCAATTTCTTTGACCTCAGAGGAGGCTACTAAATGCATTAATGTACCAGAACTGAGAGAAAGACCCATGTCGCTTTGGATCACAATGTTTGCCATGCATTAGCTACTTGGAAGAAGAGCGAAGACAGTCCTTTTCTCTAATCCCTGCCACAAGGGATGGACTTGATTTCCAGTCTCTTTGGCTGCTGGTGCGGTTCTTCCTGCAGGGCTCTGGAGGGAGTGGTGCATTTTATTTGAGAGACATAAGGCAATGAAAAGGGATGCACAAACTCGGCGGCCGGAGAGAGGCCATCCTTGACTCAGAAATCTTCCAGATCAGAATTCCGTGTTGGCTGGCGGATTTCTAAAGCGTGCTGGGGCCAAGAGCTGCTTACATTTCCTGAGTGACCACCGTCCGCCTTTACAAGAATAAACTGTAATCCTCCTGACAACCCTATGAAGTAGGTCATGATGAGGAGCCCCACCCGAAAGACGAGAAGTCGGGGCGTGGAGAGGTTTACCTCTGGGGTCTCGTGCTTCCCAAGCCGGTGGAGCTGGGATCTGAAGACAAGTCTGACCAGAGTCCACATTTTTAATCACAAAATCGGGGAAACTGTTGGTTCTCTGAAACATGCTCTTTGCGGACCTGAGCTCCGGTAACATCGCCCGCTGTTTAAAGGGAAGATACGAGTCCCCAAAGCCACAGAGGGCTGCAGGGACCCTGTCCTGGACTGGCTCGCCAGGCTGGGGTCCGGTGGATTCCTTCAAGGCTCTTTTCTATTTCCGTTTAACTTCTTGGTAGGCCAGTTCACCCCCAGAGGGAGTGTTTGAAGAGAAGTAAAAATATCCTAGAACAACACTTGCAACTAGTTCAGAAACTGTGTCTCATGTATAATACATTTTCAGTCGGTTTCTGTGGCGAAGTCCTTGTTAGTCAGAGGGAAAGACGGAGCGTTTTACTCGCTGTGTGAACAGAGTTGCTGTCACAGGGCTGCTGAGCCAGAAGCTGGGCGGCGGGGAGAGCAGGAGGCCTGTCCTCGCTTCCCTCTGCCCCCCAGGCCGTGCAGGCCCCGCAGAGCCCCCCGCAGCCACTCTGGCTCCTCAGGCCCACGGCTGGTTGGCCCCATCCTTCCCAGTTCTTCATTACGATGATTATAGAGGATCAAGCCAGTTTACCGCAAGCAAGTGCGGTTTCTATTTCCGGTGGGTCCATGGGTCCCCGGTTGGCTCCCCCCACATTGGCTGGGCTGATGGGGAGAAGGGGGTGTTGTGCTCACTGCCAGTCCTCCAGCAACGCGCCCAGGCTCTT